AAAATACTTCACTAAACAATATGATTTTTTGTATGTGAAAGACTTGTAATATTAACTGAAAGACTGCTAAATTTTGTGAAGATATGCACACTATGTTGAAAGTTAGAGGTATTAAATCTATATAGACTTTAAATAAGTACAAAGAGGTCACGTGTTTGGTCAAATTGACTGAGCCCATATCGAGAGAGTTAAGTAGATGAACATTTCGAGTTTTGTAGGCATTTCAATTTGTACTAAAGCCAGATTAAATTTTGTATGAGGCATGAGTACGTTTGGTAATACTGAACATATCTTTCCTTTAATGTCAAGTTTTTCTTTGTTGCCTTTTAGGGACAAATAAGACACATCCACAAGATAGTTGTTCTTCTTGTGAAATGCTCATTTTGAATAGTTTTGTCAAGTAATGACTCTGTAAGGTAGTTGTTTTATATCTGTCAGTTAATGTTTATAATAAAGATAGTGTGAAGTATTAAAAAATTATCCATTTAAGTGAAATTTTTATACAAGTAATTTGATCTATACCTTGTATGTCTGGCAAAGTTTAGTTGAAATTGCTAAACAGAGAATGTAAATTTCAAAATACACATAAAGGAAAATTCTCATATCTAATAATTAACAAACATAATTGAATTTTGTTGTTTAGAAAAAAATTTTTTTTTTTTTCTTCAGTCGAACAAGCAAGGCATTTTCCAACCAGCAAACAATGAAAACAACTGGTGTTGTACAAGTCTACACTGATACTTTGAAGGTTTTCTTGCGTGCATTAGAGGTATAAGGATCTTTTTATGCAATGTGCAGTTTTAAATGATGTTTCAGTTTTTTTGTTATGGATTACTCAGTATTGTAACAAACTGTAACATTTTTGTTATAATGGCGCAACTAGAATGGTGTCGTAAACGATGAGCCGTGGTGCTGCTTTATCAAGGTGGAGGCAGGATTATAATTCGCCTTAACCTGTACATGGTTAACTCTTGTTATATTAAGATAAAGATAACAGTGTTGCAGATATATTTTCACATTTATACTGTTGTATAAAATGATACAAAGAATTCAGTCTTGTATATTTTATTTTTGAAATTTTAACAAATCTTTATAGTTCGGGATACACTGTTATAGGTATCGAACTGAATGTTCCATAATTAAAATATCACTGTATAAAAGTAATGTTTAACTAATGTCTTTTTTTTTCCCCATTGAAAGGCACACTAATATAATGTTTATGGATTAATATCACAGATGGAAAATAATTCTTAAATTGATATTTTCAGGTAATACTTCAAATGATTGACCATTAGACTATCAGATTATTGATTTAATTAAAAAAACAAAAAAGCCATGCTTCATGAATATTTTGAAAAAATTTACCATCATTATATTTACTTTTGTGAAACATTTAAACAAAAATTGGTATTGTGCAAATATTGAAATATCTTATGCCTGCCTATAGGTCTATTCAGATATATTTATTTTTCTTTTCACATTTATGGGGAATTTGTACACTTGTTCAAAATGTTGAGAGTTTTATCAGAAGCTGCTTTTGTAAATCTTTCAGTAGGAGCCTAAAAATACATTCTTCTCTTAAATGCAGTTTTTTGTGCCCATTTAGATCCCCCATGAAAGGTCAGTACTGCAAACTGCTGTCCGTCAGTTCTTGCATCGCATGGTTATTTGTTTGGAAGAAGAAGTCTTACCATTTATTCCTTTAGCAGCAGAATGGTTGGTCAAGGATGCAGACTGTCATAGCATTCAGGAGTTCATACCCCTTATAAACCAGATTATTGGGAAGTTTAAAGTATGAATATTCAGTATTATGAAATTGTCAGAGAATTATTTAAAGGCTTTTTGCCATATTTTAACATTTTTGCTCTAACTGTCACTAGAGATAATTTGTTTTTGAAGTGTTGGAAAAAGGGACAGTCTTTTATTTTGTGTTGTTTATTGGAAACAAAATTTTGTTAAAGGAGTTGCTTCCCATTAATTTAGTGCCATATATAGTGTCATTTCTGTTAAAATGGAAAGTGCTGTGATTGCCATATCTACACACTAATGTTCTTTTTACATCTTTCATTCTTTTAATATTAGAGGTCAATAGTGTTCATACTTTTATTTAGTTTAAAATGAATCTCTTATAAATAATTTTTATGTATGTATTTAAAATTGTGAGATACATTTTGTTTCTCTTAACTGATATTAAACTTATCAAATTATCTTGGATTTACAGAAAAACATTGTTTCATTTCTCCAACGTATCTTTATACCACTGGTCACTGCTATTTTCAATGCTTTAGCCGTTCCTATTGACGAAAATGATCAAGAAGCTCAGAGAGAGAGGCAGGTTTTACAACGTAGCTATTTCCTCTTTATTGCAGCTATAGTCACAAATAACATCACAGAAGTTCTAGCATCTCAAGGTATAAAACTATAAAAAAATTATGAAGTTTTTAAAGTTTCAAATCCATATTAATAATGATGAGTAGTGTTTGTAGTATAAATATCGATGAGTAGTGTTTGTGTTATTACCTATTTTAATATGGGCTCGGTCGAATTTGCAGAGTTTGGGACCCTAAATTGACCTTTAGTTTCCATACTATAACTTCTAATATGTTTTATATGTATTCACAATATTTTGTAGATAAAAGATCAGAATTTTTAATGAATTATTTTCACTAAAAATTTCTCCGTGAATATATAGAGTCAAAGTGTTGACTGCTCCAAGTGCAAGTGATTTTCATGTTAAAATTAGAAATACTTTTCTTCACCTGAAAATTGTCAAATTTCATTTGCATAATCTCTAAAACCTTCTAAATAAATTTCAAATAATTTTTTCAGTAAAACTTTATATTTTATCTTTATTTTCTCTACCATAATTCTATACAAGGTCAGTCAAACTGAGTGACCTCATAACAACCATAAAAAAAAATACAAAATAAATCTAAATTACCCTTTTCTTCTTGCTAGAGTGACTTCAAGTTATAACATGAAACTACATTTGCTTGTCCTAAATAGCTTAAAGCTCATTACAGTATACATCTGTTTCTACTTAAATTTCATTGCCCTTTGAACCCTGTATAACTAAATTCCACCAAACAATTTGTAAATCACATTACCCTATCGAATTAAGTAATGCACAGGTTACTCAAGAGCATACCTCATGAAAAATTATTGTTATTTTTTTTCTTTATATTACTTAATCTAACCTAAATAATAATAAGTAAAGAATCCACATGAAAAACAAGAAATATAATACTTACCTGGGTCTTTTCCTTTTCAACTCGATGAAACTTAACCATACTTTTTATACTAATGGTACTGCTGCAATAAATAATTTTTTATTTACTTAAATAATGCACCTAAGAACACAAAATAATAACATGTAAAAAGTAGACAATGTCCTATAACTATCGTAATTGAAATAGTTGTATCCCCCAGACCCCCATAGTGTTAGCATACTTTGCATGCTGATTATTTTTCACACAATATGTGTTGGCTTTTGATCTCACAAATTAGAACTCCCCCCCCCCTCCTTTCAAACATTCTGCATATGGGCCTGATAGATATAGAACATTGTCTGCTTTTTTCATGTTATCATTTTGCATTCTTTGATGCATTACTTAATTAAATAAAAAATTATTTAGGGCAGCAGTACCATTAGTATAAAAAATAAAGTAGGGTTAACTTTCATCGATAGTCAACAGCAAAAAAAAAAGAAAGAAGACCACCCAAGTAAGTACTATATTTCTTGTTTTTCATCATTATTCTTTGTTTATTATTACACAAGTAACTAAAATTTAAAATTAGAAACTTTTTAGGTTAGATTAGGTGAAATATAGGATAATGATGGTGAAAATGTTTCATTAGATATGTTCGTGAGTAGCCTGTGCATTACGTAATTCAATACGGTAGCGTGAGCTAAACGTTTATCAAATGATTTACAACTTATGTGGGGGAAATATTAGTTAGACATGGTTCAAAGGGCAATAGAACAATAAAATTTAAGTTGAAACAAAAGTATACAGTTATGAATTTTAAGTTATTCTAGAAAGAAGAAAGGGCAATTTAGATTTATTTCATATTTTTTATGGTGGTTACAAGGTCACTAAAATTTACCAACTTTGTATAGAGTTAGGGTAGAGTAAGTAACAGATAAAATAGCAAGTTTTACTGAAAAAAAATGGTTGAAATTTATTTAAGAGATTTTAGAGATTACACAAATGAAATTTAAGAATTTTTAGATGAAGAAAAGTATTTTTAATCTTAACATGAAAATCACTTTACACTTTGAGTAGTCGACATTTTAACTCCATATGTTCATGGAGAAATTTTTAGTGAAAGTACTTAATTAAAAATTCTGATTTTTTTGTCTACAAAAGACTTGTAATGCTTACTGAAAGCTTGAGAAAGTTTGTGAAGGTACACAAAACACACTAGAAGTTATTCTATGGGAACTATAAAGGTCAATTTGGGGTCGCAAACTCGGTTGAATAGGCCGAGCTTTTTGGGAGAAGGTTAATAGTGGTGAGTAGTGTTTTTAATATTAATAGTGTTTGTAGTGTTAACAGTGATTTGTAGATAGTTTTTGTATTTTTCTCCGGCATCTGAAAGGTATACTATAATGGTATCTATAGAAATCATAGTGTAACAGTACATAAATACGTAGTTTCTGTAAAGATCACTGTTTATCATTGCAAAGCTAAAAATTAAAGTGATTATCTCAAAAACCAGTAAATTTTAATTTGTTATTTCTTTGTTTTGCTAAATTATTTTCATGAGACAGAACTGTGAAAGTTTGGCTATAATGATTAAAACTTCTGTTGCATCAAGTGGTAACAATGAAGTGAGTGAATAGTGTTCTCTAGTTGGTAGAATAACATGGTAATGTTACTTAATTATCTCTGTATTTTTAATGTTATTTGAAAGTTATATTAGTTTCATAAATCACTCAAAATTCCTTTATGAGCATAGATTTTATTACAATGATTTCTAAATCACGAAGAAACTGGAATTTACGAATTTTATCTGTTTGAATTTGATAAAAATTGACGTGTCTGAATTGAACACCGAATACTTCTGGTAGCCAAATTAGCTGTTTTTAAAGACAACATAAAGAGTTAAAGTTTGGTAGAAATCTTTAAAGCATTTCTCTGGATACATTTACTGTTACAGTAATAAGTTTCCATGGTAACTTATATCATCCAAATGAAACATTGTTAATGCTTTGTAAGAGTCTGTAGTATCACATCTTCAAAAATATTAAGGTAAATATACGTCTCGTACACATGATGAACTTCCACAAACTTCTTTGAACATGACACCGTTCTAATAGTTTTAAATATTTATCTGCCTCGAATGAATGGATTACATAAGGTATAATAAAATGTTTGATATACAAGTAGATTTTAGTCATTTTTTTCGTCCTACCAGCATAACTATACCTTTGTGAGTTCAGTTTATTATATTGTATAACTTACTCATAAAGTCATGACTGCTAATTTTAGATTTGGTAAACTGAAGTGAGGCTGTGATTATTTTATTGTAAATACCCTCGACACACATAGGAAGAAGAACCACATTTTTATTGGAATGATACCTTATATAAAGTAATGGCGTAAAAGAAAAAAAAAGAATATTACTTACAATAAAACTGTAATAAAAACATGTTTCTAAGGTATAAACTTGGTGGTCTTTTTCTCTGTATTACAACATGATAATGATGAATTAATGATGTAATGAATTTTTCTTTTGACAAGCCTCTTCCTGTTTTCCTGTTGTTGTAGAATCAGAATAGGATGTACTGGCACATTGTATATATATTTTTTTTTTTATGCAGATATGCAGAGTATGGAACAAGTGCTACAAACAATTATACAAGGTGCTGTAGACTTTCCCGACCCTGTGGTAAGTTGTATGAGATGTGTCAAAAGTATCTGTGGAAGTGGTAATTTTATCCAAGCTGTCTGTAGTTTAGAATCCATCACATTAAACTGTTAATGTGAAGGTTATGTTTAGACAGCAAGAGCAAGTCAATACTATTTTATTCAAACTGAGTAGTTTCCAAGTGCTTTCTCGGTTCAAGCAAACAGTGACATGTTAATGTTTCACCAGGGTTCATACAGGTGCTTTGAAAACCTGGAGAGCCCTGAAAAACTGCTTTAACAAAATCCAGTCCTTGAAATACCCTGGAAAATTGTGTAAATTTTACTACAAACTCTTGGAAATTATTAAAATTGGGTAAATTTTTATTGTTTTTTCAGTTGTTGCATTTCTTCAATTTAAGCCTTTGGCCTCCACAAGTATATTGAATATGACATAACTAGGGTTAACACATTGTCCATTCTTTTGGACTGGTTCATTAATTTGTTTGTCATATGTACTCTGATGTAAATCCTGTGCTTGCTAGAGCTGGTGGGAGAGGTTGTAGTTGTTGCTTAATAATGGTTTAGTTAGTTCTTGAGTTCTATCTAATGCCATTTTAATAATAGATGGCCAGAGGTTGTATTTACCAAGAATTCTGCATTATATACCAAGGAAAGTTTAATAGAATGGAAAAAATAGCACTACATCTTTAAAACAGACATACTAAAAACTACTGATGAATTACAAGTGCTTTTACTTAATGCAGTGTGAAAAATATATAAAAAGGATTTTCTTGGAAAAACCCATTGCCATAACATGCTTGCCTTTTCAACTGTGAAGACATCAAAATTAGGAATGGCATCAGATAGCTTTAGTAGTTTTGCCATAAATGAACAAACAAATCTCATTTATTCCCTATGAGTTTTCAAACTTTGTAAGATGGTTATAATTATCAAAAGTTTTATTTTACAAAAGTACATTACTTGCACATAAATCCTATATTTACATATAAATTTCAAAAATACACAGATTGATGACAATAATTTATTCTTATGATTCTTGAAGTTCCAATGTAAATACAGAATCACTGTGTGACTAAAAGATATTTCAAAACCCCATTCATTATATATATAATCCATCACTATAAGAAGCCTAGTCTTTATTCTTTTCATTTGCCCTTGTGCAGGGTTATTGATGAAGGGTAGATTTGCCCTTGCACAGGGTTACGGATGAAGGGTAGATTTGCCCTTGCACAGGGTTACGGATGAAGGGTAGATTTGCCCTTGCACAGGGTTATTGATGAAGGGTAGATTTGCCCTTGCACAGGGTTACTGATGAAGGGTAGATACAGCTTTAGAAATATCTAAAAAAAAAACTTGCATTATTGTGGAAATGAAAGTTCTCAGTATAATTGTAGTCTACACAATGTTGGGAGATAAACGCAGTAAAATAAAATCAGTGTAAAAACATGAACTAGTTTATTCATTCCAAAGTCTTTACTAGAATTTTCAAGAGTATTACATGTGGTATTATACTATATTATTAAGCCTGATGAAGAACAGTTGCTCTAAACTTTGCTAGATAAAAAAAAGTTTGTTTGTATTTCAACATTGTAGTTTTACATTTATTTTATCAGCATTAGAGATAGTTAATATCCAATCAAAACATCAATTGGGCTTTCTAGTTGTCCCTAGTAAAATTACAAGATACAATAGACAAGCCTAAGTAATACATAAACTTGGTATTCAGGTATTAGGCATAATACACACTTTTGTTAAATATTGAAAGTGATATAGACAAATTATCTGCAGTTTTATGATTTTTATTACATATTTTAGGCCTTTTGATTTCTAATACTTGTAGATCATAGCATTACATTATTTTTTGGTCCTGAAAATTATAATGTATGAGGTTATGAAAAGTGCTTAAAAGGTTTTGATTTCACTTGGAAAAATAGCATACAATCCCTGGTTATTTTTTTAAAGATTTTATTAAATTAAAACTGAGAAAAGTGGCAAGACAGTCATTGTTAGTCCATGACAGATATCATCAGATGATACTTTTTATAATTTTTGCATAATAAAGACCTCATGTTACAGTTTTATTTTATATCATAGCCTTCCAATGATTTTCAGCCTATCTAAACCTATATAGTTCAGCTGATAGTCAAAAGAATTGTAACTACAGATTTTAACATATTAACCAAAATATAGTGTGAATTGTCATTTTTAATCTATTAATTTTTGGTTTAATCATGGGTAAAAATTATTTTTAGTTGATGGGTGATGTTTCTCAAACTATTAGTTTGTTGCACAAAGTGTTTAAATACTTGATAAACTAGTACACATATCAGACATGTTAAATAACTCAAAGTAGTTGTAACTGTAGCTTGGTTATTTCAATCGTACTGACTAAATACAAGTGTTTATGTTGTTAATATTTCATCATTTTAATGTAAGAAAGTCCATTTTTGTTCAGAAATAATCAGCACTATTTCATAGACCAAAATATGTATATTTTACAGGCTCAGAAGACGTGTTTCAGTATTCTCAGGAAAATGGTGGAATTTTGGGGTATGTTACAATTAACAAGGAGTAAAAGCAAATAAAGATATTTGAATAATTACTACTGACTAAGAAATTGCTGAGGCTCTGTGGTTTGTGTCCTGTTATAGGCCAAAAGAATTCTGCTTCATGTTTTGGGGCAGCGAATCCATCATAACAGTGATTGTTAAACCCCATTATTCAGTCTGACAAGAGTAGCCCAATAGTTGTCAATGGATGGCATCGAGTAGATTCCTTCCCTCTAATCTATCACTTCAGAATTAGAAGTGGTTAGTGTATGTAGTTCATGTGTACCTTTGTGAAAAATACAACAAGCAAATCAATTTTATGAAAATTGTCCTGTTCAAATTGTACTAGAGTAAAATGCTCGAACAGATAATGTACTAAAATATTGTTGCTGTAGGGAAAACTGATTATTTACTTAGTAATAGAAATTTAGAGTTCCCAAAATGTACGTTGTTCATGTACCACGTATAGACAGAAATCAGTATCATTAGCTACATTTATTATTGAAAATACATAAATGTGTGAATAGAACTACTTTGCCACATTTTGCAGATCAGGGTTGTGTGTTTATCCCCCGAGTAACTCAACAATATGCCCAAGATTTATAATGCTAACACCCAGGTTTTAATACCCATGATTGGTAGAGCACAGATAGTCCATTTTGTTTAACAACAACCAAACAATAATAATACTACTGGAGTCTTTTTGTTATGTAATTTATTTAAAATGGCCAGTTAAAGATTTTCGTGTTTGTAAAATTTACCCAAGAGCATCTTGTCCTGAAAAGTAGTAAATATTCTCTGAATTTTTGTATGTTATTTTTTACTCAGTTATTTCTTAAATATAAGATTTTCAACTTTTCCCGATATTTACCATTAGTTGTGGTAATATCTTTTTTCCTCAACTGTTCCATTCCTTTGAAAGAAAAAAAGGTAATATCCTCAATTGTTCTTGGAATGATTTCGTCTTTTATTCAACTGTTTATTAGTCATAACAAGCATAATAAAATTTTAAGCTTTTCTTGTTATGATCGATGGTGGTAATTTTTCTCAACAAGAATAAAATCGTTCTCTTCCTGTTAAAAAATGACATTTTTTTTTTCATATATACAATAAATGTAATAACATTCTCAATTCCTGGTATGATCTAATGTTATCTTATAAATTAATGATAATAGAAGTATATTACTCTATATTTGTGAATGTGTTTGTGTGTGTATATATATAAATTTTTTTAATCATACAAATACATCTCTTGGAGTTCCATAATAAGCTATAAACAAAAAAAAGCAAAATATTGGATTGTATGATTATAGTATTTGTATGTGTTCATCAGATTTGATAGTACCTGGTTGCTATAAGCTATTTTTACTAAATTAGTTTGATATCTACAAAACTGCTAAATAATGCCAGAAAAAAGAATTACCAAATCTAGAAATAGTAAACTTTTGATAAACGTCTCAAAAGATAAAAGTGAACTAATTGTATTAATGTTCAGATTTTGGTAAACAACAAGATTTTTAGTGGTATTTGTTTGCTTTTGAGTTTTTTTAATGCAGATGTTGTATGCGTAGGTGGGCCTGATGGGGAAGCAGGATTTGTAGAGTTCATGTACAAATCTATCATCCCAGCATGTTTTGTAGCCCCTTTGAAGGAGACATTTGACCTCACAGATGCTCAAACAATATTAGTAAGCAAACATCATAAATTCTTTGTTAGATTACGTACTAGAATGTGTGATTTACTGAGATGTAATATAAGACTGTAGGTCTGTAATAAACTTGGAGCGATATTTTTAGAATATAGCTATATATATATATCTGTCTATGCTGTTTAGTATTATTAATGTTTGGTACAAGTTATATATCTAATGGCAGAAAGAAAGTAGGTGATGTTTAATTATACTGAATCTAGCAAACAGCATCAACTATTTTATAATATCCTAATCGTTTAGTAGAACACATATCTTTCATGACTATATATAGTTCTGTATTAACTACAATCAGACTTAAAACCTATTTTCTTTAGCTTAATTAAATAATAGATTATGTAAATCAGGGTTTGTTTTCCTGTGTCATGTGTTATTTGCGTAAATATAAAAATATCGTACGACTTCATTATTTTAATTGTGGAATATATATACATTTATACAGTGTATTTGTTACTTCATACTGATATTACTACCATTTACAGGATTTTCCTAATGAAAGAAAACGCAAGTCTTTCAAAAAGAAATATTAATAAATTCCATTTTCAGGCCCTGTCCGAGAGTGCGTTGTGTTTAAGAACGATATATGAAAAGAGGGTAAGTAATGTTTGATTTAGTACATAGAAGTACAAAGGGTTGATAAAGGCCATAACTTAATTTTGTCAGGGATACTACCCAGAATTAACCATGGAGATGAAGTTATAAGTAGGTCACTAGGGTTAAATGCTAGGCTTAGATTAGTATGTAAGGATGAGCAAGTGGACTTGTGGGATCAGTTCAGTGGAAGAAAGGAGCTTTTTGGAATGAATGGTTTACATTTAAGTAGGGTAGGACTGGCTTGTTTGCTAAGGCTATTAACTCAGCTGTAAGGGAAGTTTTAAACAATGAGGCCAGAAAAAACTGAATGCAAAAATAATAAGAGGCACAGAAAAGTTTAGCATAGGAAATGAGTATAGAAGTAGTTATAAGGATAGGCTTAATTGTTACTATTGTAATGCTAGAAGTATAAGGAATAAAACAGAGCATCAGTAGAAATGGTGAATTTTGATGTAATGGGAATAACTGAAACATGGTTAAACATAGATGATTTTGATGACAGAAGTTTCTTTGAAATACAGGGTTACAGGCTATTTAATAGGGTTAGAGTATTAAAGAGGAGGGGAGGATTGGCTTTATATGTAAAAATGTGAGTTACATCCTGTTGAAGTTGAGGATATCAAAAGAGATTGAATCCATTTGGGTTTCTGTTAGAGGACCTAAAGGAAAAGGCTTTTAGTGGGAATTTGTTACAGACCACCAAATGATGTTGATGAAACTAGTGAGAAACTTTACAATGAGGTTAAGATTTCAGCTGTTAATGAAGTCATAATTATGGGTGATTTTTATTTCAGGCATATAGATTGGGAAATGCTAGATTCAAACCACGAGGGACAAAGGTTTTTGGAAACTGTTCAGGATGGCATTCATCACCAATTAGTCAAGGAATTTACTAGAAACAACGCTATTTTAGATTTATTGTTAACTTCAAATATAGAAATGATCAAGAGGGTAGAAATTGGGGGAACATCTGGGTGCAAGTGATCATTGCTGTATTAGGTTCGATGTTTTGTTGAATATGGAGATAAGGAATATTATTTTGGTTACAAGTTTCAAAAAAGGAAATTTGAAGGGATGTGACAATAATTATCTGTTGTGAATTGGACAGCTGAGTTATTTGGAGACACTGATCAGATGTAGAAAGTTTTTATAGATAAATTTTTAAATATTCAAGGTAAACATATTCTTTTAGAAATATTAGAGTAGCTGCAAGTAAAACACTAGGTTGGCTCACAAAGAGTTTAAGAAATAAAATTAAAGAAAAGCATCATAATTTTATGACATTTAAATTGATGATTTGACAGGAGATTTAGAAGATTATAGATTATAATGAAAGTTGGTGAAACAGGAAATTAGGACATCAAAAAGTAGGTATGAGAAAAGGTTGGCTGGAAATATAAAAATTAACAGTAAGGATTTCTTTAAATACACTAAGGGTAAACTAAATGTTAAAAGGGTACAACCCTCGAGGGATGATAAAGGAAGGCGAGTATATGATGATTATTAGATGGCTGGGTTATGAAATTTTGCTTTTTCTTCAGTTTTTACTAATAAAGAATTAAACAGTATTCCACATCTTAAAGTTGGTAAATGGAAACGAGATCAAACAAGATGACTGCATCAATTCTGAGCTGGTTACGAAAAAATTGGAAAGTTTAAAAAATGATAAGGCTCCTGGGCCAGATAATATTTCCCCAAGGGTTTTGAAGGAGGTTAAAGATTGGATATGTGAGCCACTTGCTACTATTTTTTGTCAGTCCTTGAATAGTGGGCAGGTACCAGAGGATTGGAAGTTAGCTAATGTAACTCCTCTTATTCAAGGGAGGTGATAAAAATTGTCCCAGTTATTATAGACAAATTAGAATTACATCAGTTGTGGGAAAAGTTTTGGAACATCTGTTAAAAAATGCTTTGAAAAGTCATTTAACCAAGTTTAGAATTTTATTGGATAGGCAACGTGGTTTTATTAAGGAAAAATCTAGCCTTAAAAATGTTTTGACATTCTTTTTAAAAGGTTGTTGCTTATGTAGATGAGGGTAAGGGTGTAGATTTAGTTTATCTGGATTTTCAGAAAGCATTTGACAAGGAGCCACATAAAAGGCTTGTCAAAAAATTATCTTTTAGTGTGGGGATTAGTTATCATATTGGATAGAAGAGTGGCTAGATGGAAGAAAGCAGAGGGTTGTTACAAATGGAGTTCAGTCAAACTGGATTAATGTCACAAGTGGGATACCTCAGGGCTCAATCTTAGGACCTTTGGTCATTTTGATTTACATCAATG